AGGCTTTCAAGCAGAGAAACTCTGCGTCTCAGCCAGAGATCTCACCCTGCAAATTGAAAGATGATGGGGGGGGGGGGAGTTGGGGAGGAAATGAGGTTAAACTGTATCAATCAATTAACAAATCAATCAGTAAGTGTTAATTGAATACCTACTATGTGCTGAGTCTTACATTCCTAACCAAGTGGGATGCCAAAGGGCATGTCCTTTTATATAGACCTGATCTCAAGGACATGATAGGATAGGATAGGATTTTGAACCTTAACAATCATCTTGTTTTACAGAAGAGGAAACTGAGGTCCAGAGAAGAGACTTGAGCAAGGTCACACAGGTAGTGAGTCGTGTGTAGTTGTAGGATAAGGCACCAACACTAAAAATGATTGGAACTTGTAGCTGCAGGAGGGATAAAGGTTAGATATGAAAAGGAACTTCTGAGAAGTCCTGGGAGCATCCCTCCCATCCCAACACCCCCTCCCACCAATCTATAGTCTATAATTGGGTTTCCATGTTCTCTGCAGCAGGGGTGATACTCATCGAGGTGGGGAAGCTCTGACATCTGCTGTGCCATGAATATTCAGATACTGAATTAGATCCCTGATCAGCAGGGGCTCCTAGAGCTCCCCTTGCCGTGGCAAAAACACAGACTGCTGATATATCCAGCAGCTGCTCTTACTCCAACTGCTCCCATTGTTTGTCCATCTTGGCAGGGGATTTTCCAATCCAGGGACAGGCTCTGGGGAGGGGAGAGGGGGGAGAAGGGGGAGGGTTGTAGGATCCTTGGATTGTGTTGCATGTGGTTTTTCTCCCTTGAAATCCAAACCAACTGCACAGCCTCTAGAGTAGACAGGAAGCCTTTGGACTGAGAGCCCAGCCAAGCCAAGCCCTCCAACCCCAATCTCTCCCTCTTCCCCCTCCACCAGGCCACACACACACACACACACACACACACACACACACACACACACACACACACACACACACACACACGCGCGCTGCTGGACGCTCTTTGTTTTATCTTTTGTGAAAAGGATTCCCAAATGCCCTTTATAGGCCAGTTACCTTCAAAGAGTTAAAAAACACCCAAAATTCAGGGAAGGGAAAGGGTAAGACCCAGGAGGTGTTCTTGATAGTAATGGGTCCTACAATCTCTTACCTTTTTCATCTTCTTATATCATGTAACAGACGTTCCTCAAGAAGATTATATTCTGCTGGGGGTTGCAACATGTACACAGAAAAGCAAATACAAGATAAGGGAGTGGTGAGGAAGGGTCTGGGATCAGGCATCTTTTACAAGAAGCATTTCCAGATCCCCATTAACGCATGGGCCTTCTCTCTGTTGGTTATCTCCAATTTATCTGTCTATGTCTTGTTTGTTTAATTGTCTTTATGTGCTCCCCACCCCTCAATTAGCCTGGGAGCTAGCTCACTGTGAGTGGGGCCTGTCTTTTGCCTTTCTGTCTCCTGGGCTTAGCACAGGTGCCTGGCACCTGGTAGGTGCTTAATAAATGCTTGCAGACTGACTAACTGATTGATGGGCACCTGGGCTGAGTTCTTGAAGGAAAATAAGGCTTCTAAGAGGCAGAAGTGAGGAGGTACTGCATTTCAGGTTGGGGGATTGGAGTTTGGGTAAGGGTGGCCTATGTGAAAACCCAGAGAGAGGGCCAAGAATGTCAAGGTAGAAGAGTTAGTGAGCCAATCTGGATAAAAAGTAGAGTTGGGGAAAGGCAAGAGAATAAGCTTTTATATAGCACCTAGTGTGTGCCAGACACCATGCTAAGTGCTTTTACAAATATTATCTCATTTGACCTTCACAACAACCCTGTGAGGCAGGCATTATTATTATCTCCATTTTACAGTTGGGGAAACCAAGGCAGTCAGAGGCTAAATGATTTGCCCAGAGTCACACAGTGTTCCTGGCTACAGGCCCAGCACTCTATCCTCTGCACCACCAAAATAAAATAAAATAAAACAAGTCTGGAAAGATAGATTGTGGCCAGATGGTAGAGGACTTTAAATCTCAGACTGAAGAGTTTGTATTTTTATCCTATGGGCAATAGGTAACCACTGAAGGGATTTGAACAGGGAGGTGACATGGATAAATCTGTTGCTTAGGAAGGTTATTTTGGTAACTGTGGAGACCACAACAGGTTCCAAAGGATTGAAAATGAGTATCACATAGAGGGCAATTGAGAGGCACATGGTAAGCATGAGCAGGCTGCCAAAAATAACAAGTGAAGCATTTAGAAAAATGATGGGAACAAAGGACTACATCAGGGAAATGTATGATAGAAAAAGAAGGTGGGCTGGTCAAGTCATAAGGATATGGGGTGATAAGGGAACAGCCTACTTTGGTGTCTTCTCAATGTCAGGAGACACTGGGAAAGGCCCCCAACACTCTAGGTGAACCTTCTGGGGCAAACCTACAGGAAGCCTTGGACAAGAGGTATACAAGGATGCATGGGCTGTGATCTGCATCCTTGGAGAGAGCATCCCAGTTAAAGAGAGGACTGATGCCCTTTACTATCTGAGGGAGTTAGAATTGGAGTTAGTGTTAACTACTTAGATATTTTGAAATGCTGGAAAGACCCTCTCTCTTCCTCAGGAAGAAAAATTTCCCTTCCTGAAATCTCACTGAAAAAAAAAAGCAACATACCTTCAATTAAGAAATGGCTAAACAAACTTCGGTATATGAATGGGGTGGAATTTTACTCAGCTGTGAGAAATGACAGAAATGATGAGTACAGAGAAACACAGAAGGACTTACACAAACTGATGCAGAAGGAAATGAGCAGAGTCAAGAAAGCACCCTACACAATGACTAGAAGAGTGTAAATGGAAAGAATCACCACCCCAAAAAAAGAAAAATGAATGTTTGAAAATGACAAAGAATAAGCACGTCCCCAAAGAAGAGATATAAGAAGAGATCTGTCTTGCATATACTGTCAGACTTTTTAAAAATGTGTTGATTGGCTTTGCTGATTTTTTCCCTTTTCTTCCATTTTTATTTTTTTTCTTTAAAAAATTCTTTGTTATATGAGACCATTTTCTGGAATGGAAAGAAGAAGAGAGATACAGGGGATGTAAAAACTAAAAATATTGATGAAATGTATTCTTTTAAAAAAAACCACACAACAAAATAGAGGTCATTTTATTGATGTGGGGAACTCACAGAAATGAACTTCCTCAAATGCTATCCACATCCAGAGAAAGAACTATGGAGTCTGAATGCAGATCAAAGCATACTATTTTCTCTTTTTTGTTTTTTATTTCTTCTTTCTCATGGTTTTTCCCTTTTGTTCTGATTCTTCTTTTACAACATGGCTAATGTGGAAATATGTTTAATGTGATTGTACATATATAACCTATATCAGATTGCTTACTGTCTTGGGGAGAGAAGTAAGGGAGGGAGGGAGAAAAATTTGGAACTCAAAATTTTACAGAAATGAATGTTGAAAGCTATCTTTACATGTAATTGGGGGGAAATACTATTAAGGAAAAAAAGAACTTAATTTCCTCTATCATTGCAGATCAGCATGCTTTCTAGGTAGCTCAGTGGATAGAGTATGGAACTTTAGAGTCAGAAAGACCTGAGTTCAAGATCCACCCTCAGGCACTTACTAGCTATGTAACCTTGGACAAGTCACTTAACCTCTGTCTGCCTCAGTTTTCTCAACTGTAAAATGGGAAGAATAATAGCACCTGTTCCCCAGGATGATTGTGAGACTCAGATGAGATCTTTGCAAACCTTAAAGTGCTATAGAAATACTATCTATTATTATATTTATGATTATTCTACAACTTACAGTTTGAGAGCAAGAGTTCTTAACCTGGGGTCTGTAAACTTTTTTCTAAACTATTTTCATAACTGCATGTCAATATAATTTGTGTTGTTGTTCAGTCATGTCTGACTCTTCATGACCCCATTTGGTGTTTTTTTGGCAAAGATACTGAAATGGTTTACCATTTCCTTCTCCAGCTCATTTGACAGATGAGGAGACTGAGGCAACAGAGTTTAAGTCACTTTCCCAGGGTCACACAGGTATCCAAGGCCAGATTTGAATTCAGGGAGATCAAGGCCCAGCACTCTATCCATTGCACCACCTAGCTTCCCTGTCAATATAATTACTTTCCTTTACATTTCTATGTATATTATTTTATTCATTTAAAAACTTTATTCTGAGAAGGGGCGCATAAGCTTCATCAGACTGACAGAAGGGTTCCTGACACCAAAAAGATTAAGAACCCTGGTAGAGAGTTCCCTGAATGTCTTGAGAGGTTACATGAGGTCACAAAGCCAGTGAATATCAAAGGTCTGAACCTGAGTCTTGACTCTGAGGCCACGTCTCTGCGCACTATGCTTTGATGCCTCTCAGATAACTATAATACATAAAATGATGTGGTAAGTGCATTAGAGAGGAACAAAATTAAGTACTGAGGTCCCTGAGTGAAAAGGTCGCTGGCTGCTGTTGTTAAGATAATAAGTACAGACCGGTCTTTTTTTTTTTTTTTTTGCCTTGACCCTCAATTTGGATGCTCCTTTCCCCAGGGGATAGAAGGGAAAATTTTCTAACAACTAAGCTAACCACAAGTGGTCTGGGCCACTGCTAGGGACAGTTGTGTGCCCTTTTACAGGAGGTCTTCAAGCTTAGAGGATGACTATTCTTGGTGGTAGTAATTGGAAATGGTGAATGGAAGTGGTAAACATCGTATTGCTGATTATTCTTATTCAGATATAGGTTTGACTAGATGACCCCTGAATCTGGAATTCAGGAATCTTTTGATTCAATTTTCTCAGATTCCCTTTCCTAGCATTTCTCCACGAAAGGGAGAATCCCTGAGTCTCCCTCCCATTGTAGACTCTGATTTGGCCCTGGATGTGTGGAATATTGGGGAGGGAAGCCTGTGTGTGCAATGCAGAGGGGACTGGGGGATTGGAGACTTTGGGAGATGGGACTCATATTCCCATTATACATATTGAAAAGTCACTCTTCTTGCCCCTGCAGGAGAGCAGCTGTTGTCACAGGAGACATCCTTGGAGTTGGGCTGTGGTGTGGGACCGCTGTATGTGACCCTGGGGCCTGAGCAGGCAGTGGTACTGAATTGTAACCCTGCACCTGCCCCTTCTGGGCCCCCAGCTCAAGTGACCTGGCACAAGGACGGGAGCCTAATACAAGAGAAAAAACACCTGCGTCTGCTGCCCAATGGTTCCCTGTGGGTGTCCCAGGCAGCCCCCCAGGAGAGTGGCAATGGAGGGGTCCTTGAAGCCCCAGGGGACAATGAAGGCAACTATTCCTGCTTGGCCCACAGTCCCCTCGGAGTGGTGGCCAGCCAGGTGGCTGTGATTAGGTTCTCCAGTAAGTGTTTGTGTCTGGCTAGTTTGGTACTGAGCAGAGGTGGGGCCCCAGAGGGCCTGAAATGTGGAATTCCTGGTCAGTAGTAGGATGGGGGTAAGATGAAAACTGGGAAAAGTATGATCCTTCCTAGAGGCAGAGAGATGGGCCAAATGACTTGTCCTTTCCCCAAAACTTTATCCCTTCCGCTCCAAGAATTCTGTGACTTGCTTTTCCTTCCCGTTCTTTTGTTTCTGTCTCTTTCTTCCTTTCTCCTTGCTCCCCTCCTTCCCTCACCTCCACCAAAAAAAGCACTGTCACAGTTTTCTCTACATCCGGAACCTCAGACCGTGGAAGAGAATGGGACAGCTCGCTTTGAGTGCCGAATTGAAGGGCTGCCAGCCCCTGTCATAACCTGGGAGAAGGACCAGATGGCAGTGCCGTCTGAGCCAAGGTGAGTGTCCATGAAGGGGCCAGGGTTAGGGGGAAGCTGGGAAGCAGGTAGCTCCAGGATATTAGTTGGATTTTTAAAATTTCTAATTTTAGACTCTGGATTTAACCATAACAAGTAGTCACTGTCCCTGATACTGTTACTAGACCTTGAGACAGCAGATGTTGTTTTTTCGGTTACTTCAGAGGAGAGCCACTTAGTAAAATGAGAGCATGCATCCTGACAGGGGCAAAATGACCCACGTCCTAAGGAGAACCTTTGGAGAAGTGTCTTGTTGACCTTCCACCTAGGCTAGTGGGGAGGGGGATAGCAGTGGTAAGATTTCCCAGGCACTCTTCCAGTATGGTCTGGCCTTCTAGAGACAGGCCCAGACAACAACAGAGTTCCCACCTTGCTCAATACTAGTGTATGTCATGTGACTATAAAATCAAAGTTTGAGCTTCTTAGCCTCTGACCAGCAACTCAACTGATGAACTTCCTAGAAGAGAGAAAGACCTATTTACTCCTCTAAGTCAGGTTAACCCAACCATGACCCCTTCCTTGGGCAAAATTATGAAACATGTCTTCAGTGTCCCTACCTCCAGAAGCTCTAAGATGCCCTATCACCTTCCATGGTCCCATACCCTATGCTGCCTATCACCCAGGACCCCCACTGATACTTTCTTGTCCCATACTTCATCATCTCCGGGTAATACTTTCTATGCCTTCTGATGTAACAGTAGCTTGTGCCAGAGGGAAGGTGCTAAGAAAAGACTCTTCAGTCTATTCTTTCCCTTCTGAGTAATACACATTTTAACTGGGACCTTCTGAGGAGATAATGGTCCCTCTCTCCCATATTTCCTAACCCATTGGTGATTCTAATATGGGAATTTAAGGGAAAATGTTCTTTTAGGGCTATCAAAAGGCACAATACCCTGGCTCTCTAGGTTTCCCCTTACTAAGAGGTCATCACACAAATGCTAGATGACCACTTGTCAGAGGGGTTATTTGTACAGGACTAGATGGCTTCTGGGGTCCCCTTCCAATCCTGAGATTCTGTGAATTTAAAGCCAAGTGCAAGATGGGGCAGATCTAGGGCAACAATCAGGAGAAGGGATATCTCTGGTGACAGTAACTTTTTCTGCCTCTTCATGCCTATCTCACAATTTATTTCTTCCCCTAGACTCATCACTCTTCCCAATGGTGTCCTGCAGATTGTAGATGTGCAGGAGAGTGACGCAGGGGCCTACCACTGTGTGGCCACCAACGCTGCCCACCAGCGCTACAGCCATGATGCTGTCCTCATTGTCCACAAAGGTGAGGGAGTTTATGTTTGGAGTTATGTTGCCATGGTGTTCGGCTATCATAAAGTCATAGATCATAGAACTGATCTTGGTGCTGAACTTGGGGTCTATGGAAGCTCAAGTGGTCTTTGGATGGATTTCAAGAGATCTGTGAAATTGGATGGGGAAAAAATTACATCTCACTTCTAACTGAAATTAAGCATTGATTTGCTCTGAATATTCTGAGAAGGGGTCTATAGGCTTCACTGGATTGCCAGAGAGGTGCATGACCCAAAAAAAGGTTAAGGGTTCCTATATTAGCACTAGAAGGAGCTCATAAGTGGCACATAGTAGGTGCTTAATAAATTTTAACTGGATTGAATCAAATTTAGCTTCCTACCTTCATGGAGGTAAGAGTACTGCTACCCCATTTTACAGATGAGGAATCCAAAGCCCAGAAAAATGAAGTGTTTTGCCTAAGGTCAACACTGACAGTCAGTGATTGAGCTAGAATTAGAACTAACCCACTTCTTTCTTTACTACATCACGCCACACTCTTGTGTCTTCTTGGGATAAAGGGAGCTTCTGGGATGGGGAGAAGTGATGAAGTGAGACTGAAGGAAGGCAGTTATCTGACCCTCCCCTCCCTCAGCCTCATGTAATGTTCTCCTATTCACCTACCTTCCCCCTCCTTCCCTTCAGTTCTTGTGCTCAAAGAACTGACGACCTGAGATTTAGGAGATTGTACTCTGGGATGTCTTCAGAAAGTTTAGGAGTTCTCTCCCCTTGCCCTCCAGTGGGACTATATCTCTGCTTAAACTATCAGAGTCTCAAATTCCCCTGCCTATCTTCCCTTTCTTTTCCTCCCTCTTTTCTCCCCTATCTTTCTAATCCACTCCTCTGCCTCCAGGTAAGTTGATTTTCTCCCTACCCCTTCCAACCTCCTGTATTCCCTGAAGCCAGGCTAAGGGTCTAAAGCTCCTCCAAGTAGAACCCACCTGTTAAGAAAGGGGCACCTCTGTATATCTAGTCTCTGGTCTTTTGGCCTCTTCGGGGTTTCTAGGTCTGTCTCTGCTTCCATCTGCCGGGCAAACCAGGACTAGCATACTATCTTTGGGGAGCTGAAGCTTGGGACTGGATAGGAAAACTCAGGGTCTTTGAAATTCTTCACTTTTCTTCTCTCCTGGGTCCAGAATGGGACTGAAGAGGAGAAACAGCAGGGAGGAAGTAGTCTGAAATTAGTCTGCTATTTCTCTGAATGTTGAATTGGGGATAGGAATGTCTCACTTTCAGCTCTCTAACAGAACAGACTTGAGGAGTCAGGAGGCTTGGGTTCTGGTCCCAGATCTCCCATTAACTGAGTGACCTCAAGTAAATAAATTTTCTGAACCTCAGTTTCCCTACTTGTCAAATAGTTGGGAAGAAAATTGGGTTAGGAGGAGAGAACCTCTACCCTCTCGACTTCACAAGGCTATTTACAAGGATTAAATAATGGGGATGGGGATACATTTGGAAAAATTTTAAGCATAATGATACTTGTCTCTTCTATATTTCTCCAGGCTCCCTCTATCCTCCTAGTGTTGGGGATGTGACCATTGTGGCTGCTCCAGAAAACACCACAGTAGTTGCTGGTCAGAGTGTGGTGATGGAGTGTATGGCTTCAGCTGACCCCACCCCCTTTGTGTCCTGGATCCGACAGGGTGAGTGGTGGGAGAGGGATTGTTGCAGAGGGAGGGATGGTGTGGGGGGTGGGGGAGAGAGCAGGGCAGAAGCATCCTGGAAGAGAGTAATATAGAGCCTCAAGGCCTTTCCTAGAACCCCTGGAATTAGCTGAAGAGCAGCTGATCAGAGTCAAGAATGTAGAGTGGGCCGGGCTATGTAGATCGAGGATTGAGCTGACATTGCTGGCAGTCCCTCTTTCAAAAGTCCCTATTGGGGGAAGAAGGTGGATATTAAGCTTAGGAAGCTACACTGGGGACCCCACCCCAATAAATCCAATATGGTATACACTAGAAAGAATGCTGGGTCTCAAGTCAGAGGACCAGGGTTCAAATCCCAGCTCTGCCTCTTAATATCTGTAAATCCCTTCTCTAGACCTCAGCTTTCTCATTTGTAAAATGAGTGTTGGGCTAAACGATCTTGAAAGCTTCCCTACAGCCTTAAATCTTTCATCCTTTTATCCTAAGGCTTTCCATCTATAAAGTGCTTTCATCTTAAAAAAAAAAGTACACTTTATTGATGCCTTTTGTCTATACATCACAATTGCTTTTATCTTTCCCAAGGAATCGTTGGATCAACTAATAGTTCTTGAGGGCCTACCATGTTTAGAGCAATGTGTTAGCTACTGAGAGTGATGCAAATATAGGACACCTACTCTCTAGACATATGTAAATGTAGATATAAAAACATATATTTATATGAACATATAGATATAGATATGAATGATAGCTCGAAGTCCAAAGCAGTCCTTGGTGAATGCCAGATAACAAACTCAGTAAGCAGGCGATCACTTTTTCCATCTTCTTATTTGATTATTGTTTGAGCCTCATCCTCATTATGCATCATCATAGGGATGTGGGAAAATCTGGTCAATTTTGCATCTATATGTTGTCCTTGTGAGCTGGCAGGGCAGGAAGACAGTGATGAACATTTTCAGTGGAGTAGCTGAAAAAACACTGGCCTTAGGAGTCAGAAGAATCAGTTCAGTTCAATACAGCAACCATTTATTAAGTACCTGCTGTGTTCAAGGTACTAGACTAAATGCAGGAGATATGAAGATAAAAAATAGCAAACACTACTCTCAAAAAATTAAAAATCCAATAAACCTGGGTCTGCCAACTACTAGCCATATTGTTTGGGGGAAATCACTTAAACTCTCCGTCACTTTCCTCATCTATAAAAATTGGGATAATACCTTTGAGGGGGAATAGTATTAATATCTTAATACCTCAAATTCACGTCTTCTGGCCATAATCCTATGATTCCCCTACCCCCATCCTCTTAGTATCTTTTAAGTATCTTTCTCTCCTTCATAGATACTGAAAATCAACACTTGAAGAACTTCAAGATTGTATTATCTCTATTGTGGATTGGTTGTATCCAACTGTTTTTCCTGATTTTATCTTATTAAATTCCATTTCCACTTCCTAACATGACATGTTAGGTACTGAGTTATTAAGATCTAAATGTGATGGGATACATCACCATAGAAATGTAGGAAAATCAGGACAATTTCACAGCTATATGTTGTCCCTTAGGTTGTCCCTGAACACTCTTGAGATGATCTGACTTGTGTATCTCATGCCAAACTTTCTCCTGACTTATTTTCTCTTTGATGAAGTATTACTCCTTAGAACCTTCTGCTGTCCTCATCTGTAGCATTTTGTTAATGACCTTGCTCTCTAAATTGACATTGTCCTTGGTTGTCCAGTTGCTGAAGTGGTTTCTGGGCTTTTGGTGACATGGTGATAATCAGATCAAATGTCTTTATTTTTGTCTTGGTCTGATTTTTCACAGATAGCTTGTTTAAGTAGGTTGGATTGGAGATATTGTGATTGTATGCAGTGTCTTTGTGTTAATTCATAACCTTTATCTTTTCTTCTATGTTGAGGTTGATTTTGACCTTTATTCTGACTAGTTCTGATTTCACAGAGGTACTTGACTGCCGTGTCAGTAACCACTCATTTCTTTTTTTTTCTTTTTTTGGCTAGGCAATGGGGTTAAGTGACTTGCCCAAGTTCACACATCTAGTAAGTGTTAAGTGTCTGAGGCCGATTTGAACTCAGGTCCTCCTGAACCCAGGGCCGGTGCTCTATCCACTGCGCCACCTAGCTGCCCCCTACCACTCATTTCTTATCAAGATTTAGTTAACTTCATTTTTTTGGTGATGTTGTCTGGTACTCACCATGTTAAGTGCCTTCTGATTCTTCAATTAGTCAAGAAGTATTTATTTAAATTTTGAGGATTCTTTTTTTTAATATGTAAGTATTAAGTTTCTACTACATAACAGGCACTGTGATAGGTACCAGGGACATAAATGAAACAGTCTCAACCTTTAAGGAGCTTATATTCTATAGGGGAGTTAAGATAGTCTTACATAAAACTATATACAAAATAAAGGAGGGAAAAGAGTCCCCACTGTGGGGGACATGATGAAGACCTACAACCAGGTGGGAAATGATGAGTTCTGGAGGATCTGAGAAGAGCTGTCATAATGTCTACCCTCCACCCTCTCCAGTGAGAAGGAAGGAGGGGTCCCTGGGCTGGCTTCAGGGGAGGGGCTGAGGAGGTATGAGTTTCAGAGTTAATGCAATCTTGCAAGAAGATAAATTACTAGAGACAGAGATGAAGTCAGGAGATCAGCCAGCTGGGAAAAGATGAGATAGTGGGACTGGGCCACCAAATGCAGGAATAATGAAAACATCACAATCCACATATAAAATCGCACCACTCACTCTTCCACCAATGCTTGTAGCGTTCATAGAGAAGAGTGAACACACACTAACAGTAACTTAGCAGGGAGGCACATGAGGAAGGGAAACACGTATCCTTAGGACAACTTATAACTCTTTTTTTTTTTTACAAATCAATAAGCATTTATTGAACACTTAGCATGTGCCAGGCACTGTACTAATCAAACAGAAAGATAGTCCCAACCCTTCAGAAGCTACAAGAAAAGGAAGGGAGGGAAGGCACCCATGGTGGGCATGGTCTGAAAAAAGTGACAAAATTTGACATAAAATCCCTTGGAATCTTGGGATTTTTCCAATGGAAAAGATTGGCTAATTTGGTTATTTCATTTTGCAAATGAAGAAATTTCGGCTTGAAGACTTAGCCTCCATGGCCTGCCCCTTTCCTGTCCTTTAATGCCCTCTTCTTTTTCTGTCTTTTTTTAAAAATTAATTTATTTTGAATTATCAACAATCACTTCCATAAGCTTCTGAGCTTCAAATTTCTCTCCCCTTCCCTTCCTACCTCCCTCCCTAAGACGGCACACAATCTGATATAGGCTATACATATACATTGCTATTAGACATATTTTCACATTAGTGATGTTCTACGTAAGAATTATAGCCCATAGAGGGAACCACCAGAAAGAGGAAACAAAACACAACAGAAGAAAAAAAATAGCAAATAGTATGCTTCGATCTGCATTCAAACTCTATACAACTTACAACTCTTGAGGGAAGGCCTGAATGTCTTTGGTGCCCTTAGGGATAACCAAGTAGATGGAGTGTTGACCTGAGTGCAAATTCAGCCTCTGTCACTAACGAGCTGTGTGACGTTGGGCAAGTCACTTCATCTCTTTTTGCCTCAATTTCCCCAACTATAAAAGGGAGTAAATAACAGAGTCATTACAGAGTCATTCCAAGGATCAAACAAGATCATTTTCTAAAGCACTTAGCACAGTGCCTGGCATACAGTAGTTGCTATATAAATGCTTCTTCCTTTTCCCTTCTGGAGAACTCTGTACCACCCAAAGCTACTTCTCTGCTAGCTGCCCCCCTTTCTGGTCACAAATCTGTTCCTCCTCTGTTCTTGAACTGATGAGACAATGACAAGCTCTTTTAACTCACAAGCTTCTTTTAAAAGCTGCTGAGAAAATTTTACACTACGTGTAGTATATTGATACTCAAACCTTGGCAAGACATTCTTTCCCTCTTTGCTTTTCTCTCTTAAACCAGAGGGGGGCAGTAGAGAGCAACAAGGCACATACAAGGCTTCTCTCTCTCAAAGGATAGATGCGGGGTTCAGCTCTATTCTATGGCAGCTGAAGCTTTTCTAACAGCTGATTTCTCCTCTTGCCATCTTCATACTCAGCACCTACTAAGTTCTAACTCCTCTCCTAGGTGGTGCAGTGGATAGAGCGCCAGGCTTAGAATCAGGAAGACCTGAATTCAAATCTAGTCTCTAATAGTTCCTAGCTCCGTGCTAGGACTCCTAGTGAGTCACTTAAACTCTTGTCTCTTCATCTGTAAAATGGGGATAAAAACAGCACCAACCTGTCAGGGCTATTGTGTGGATGAAATGAGCATATGGTCAGTGCTATATAAAATGCTCATTCACTTCCTTTCTCCTTTCCCCTCTCCTGCACAAGTCTGCATTGCCTCGTTCAAGTCAGAGCCTCCTTCTCTTATCCTTATAAGTCAAAACTTGAGATATCCAGCTGTGTGTCAGTGGCAAAACCAGTGGTCCATATCTGATTTTTCCAGCTCCAGTTATTTGATTTCATGGTGGTCTTTTTGTTTACATTTGTCATGAATACTGTAAGGCGAGATCACCCAGTGTCCCCTTGAAACAATGTCCTTGCCTCCTTCATCTGACTCTCCGAGAAACACGTGGAAGCCATCCTCCCATCTAGCTACAACTTTTTGGCTTCATTGAAGATTCTAGTATCGATTGTTTCAATTTGTGCCATCCTGAGCAACGATTTAACTCCAGCAGACAATTCACTCAGCATTTATCAAGTGCCTGTAATGTAGGGAAGCATCGTGCTGGGCCCTGAGGATACAAAGACGTATCCTATAAAATCCTTTCCCTTGAACTGATTTTTTAAAACACGTAAAATATAGAACAGTTTCTGGAATCTAGAAAACCAGCAGTTAAATGAATATCTCTAGATGGTCTAAAGATTGTTCTTTTCCTAGTACCTTTGGCCCTTTTTGACCACTCTTCTGCTGCCATCACCACAGAAGGAAAAGGAAGCCATACTAGGGCCATTTTGCTTTTTTTTGGCACTCTCAGTTGATGATGGCTTTCATATGTCCAGCAGGAACTCAGACAGTAGGTATGGTTTATCACTAAGACATACTCAACATTGGAAAGAACACTGACCCTGGAATCAGAAGAGTTGGGTTCAGATCCCACTGTACCTCTGTCATGTATTATCTGTGTAACCTTGGGCAAGTCACCACCTCTCTGGGCTTCACTTTCTTCATCTGTAAAGTGAGGGGTTTGGATTACATAGCCTCTCAGGTACCTTTCAGCGATAGGTCTATGAGCCCGTGAACCTTCCAGGGTTTATGCTACTTTGTTTTTTTGTTTGTTTTTTGGTTAGGCAGTGGGGTTAAGTGACTTGCCCAGGGTCACACAGATAGTAAGTGTTATGTGTCTGAAGCCAGTTTTGAACTCAGGTCCTCCTGAATCCAGGGCCGGTGCTCTATCCACGGTGCCACTTATCTGCCCCTTTTGTGCTACTTTGGAATAACTTTCAAAAGCCCAAGGTCAATTCCCTACCACATGGGACATCAGTGTAGGATTTCTGTGATTTTTGTTCCATAAATACATATGCTTATGTAATATGATATTATTACCAGAAAGAATACCTGAGTTAGATTTAGAAGACCTGTGTTTGAGATCCAGGTGTGATACTTCATAGCTGCTGATGGTGAGCAAGTCACTTTAACTCTCCTTAGCCTTGGCTTTCTCATCTCTAAAATGGGAACCATTATATTCACACTACCTACCTCACAGGGTTATTATGTGAGGAAAGCACTCTGCAAATGGAAAGAGCTCATTTGACATATGAAGAAAGAGATTAAGCGGTTTGTCTAAGGCGATGGAGCTGGTTAGTGACAGAGTCAGCTCTAAAACCCAGATCCTGCTGTCTCCCAGCCTTATACACTCTTCATTTGACCAGCTTGCCTCTCTGGACACATACTTGTAATTTCGTGACAGTCACCTTGTTTTCTGGGATCCTGAGAAACATTTGTTTGATATTTCAGTTGGGCTTTTCAGTGGCTCAAAAATGTCCCTAAACACTATGAAATGAGATTAGGAGGGGAATGGACAGTAAAGTGCCTGAGGATAGGAGGCATTTAAAATGCTTTCAATCTATTTCGCACATATACATTTTAAAAATTAATTTATATGGAAATATGTTTTGCATGACTTCACATGTATAATTGATATATTGCTTGCCTTCTCAATAGGTGAGGGAGGGAGGAGGAAGGGATAGAATTTAAAACTCAAAATTTAAAAAAGAAATGTTAAAAAGAAATCTTAAAAGGAAACTAAAAATAATTTTATTAGAATCTTTTATTTTTACATCATCTTTGTTTCTGAATGTATTCCTCTCCCTTTCCCTACCCACTGAGTCATACCTCATAACAAAAGGTGAAAACAATGAGAAAAAAAAGAAAAGGCAGTTTTGCAGAACTAACCACAAATCAACCTAGTGGGACAGTAATACTAATAGTAATAATGGCTGGTATTTCTATAATGCTTTAAAGTTTGTGAGGCACTTTTCATAGGTTAACTCATTTGATCCTCACAATAACCCTATAAGGTTAATGCTACTATTATCCTCATTTTACAGTGAGGAAACTGAGGCAGACAGAGGCCAAATGACTTGCCCAGGGTCACACAGCTATTAAGTGTCTGTGGCAGGATTTGAACCCAAGTCTTCCTGATTCTAAATCCTGTACTCTGTCCACCATACAACCTAGCTGTCTCAGTATATGCAATACGCTGTACCCATAGTCCCCCACCTCTGCAAAGAAGGGAAAGGAAGGACATTTTCTCATCTCTTCTTTGAAAACAAGCTTGGTTGTTAAAAGAATGTAACCTTCAGTTTTGTTTTGTTCTGTTTCTTTCCATTTACATCATTGTATCTTTTCCTAATATTGTTTATTTCACTTTGTATCAGTTCATAGAAATCTTCCCACATTTCTCTGAATGCTTCTATTCATCATTTCTTAGAGCAGCAATGTCAAAATTAAAAAGAAACAGGGACCACGAAAGCATATGTAAGGATCTTTGCAGGCTGTGTATTGACTTGAAAGACCACATGTTTAAATATTTCTTTTTTTATTAATAAGTCAATACATTAAAATCAGATAGGAACTTTATTTTAATCTGGTTCAGGCCACATTTCCCACAAAATGCACAGTAATACTCTGTTACTTTCATGTACCATAATTGGTTTACCTTCAATTTGCCCCAATTTGATGGACATCTAGTTTGTTTCCAGTTCTTTACTACCATAGAAGGTGTCACTGACACATGTATGTTTTTAAAGTTCCTAGCCCCCATGGCTGTAGTTGTACCAGAAAAACCTTTAGTCTAATCCTGGCTTAAGATAGATAGGGAAGAGCGTGTCCCTAGCTAGTTTTCTGCATTCTGTTGTTGAGGAAGTGAAGCTGGAACATGTGTCCGCTTGACCAGACCCTCTGAGGGACCTGAGTTCTGGAGGAGGGTTGGGGAAAGAATTTTGGAAGAAGTAGTTCCCACCCCCACCTTCTCCCCAGTGGACATCTCTCCTTTCCTCTCTCCTTTCAGATGGGAAGCCAATCTCTACAGATGTCATCGTCCTTGGACGCACCAACCTTTTGATCACACACACACAGCCCCACCACTCTGGTGTCTATGTCTGCAGAGCCAACAAGCCCCGTACCCGACACTTTGTCACAGCTGCTGCGGAACTCCGGGTGCTGGGTGAGGATGGGGCTGGAGAGGGTGGAAGGCCAGAAAGGCTGGGTGCACCTATGGTTGGAGTGATTTAAAAAAAGGGGATTTGGGGAGTGAGTGGTCTGGTATTGGACTGTGAGCAGCAGGTAGGGAGGAAGGAAATGGGGTGAATTGAACTGGTGTATGGAGGAATCTGAGGCAGGTAAGCAGGATGGGTTTAGGGAAGGTTTATGTAGAAAAAAATAAAGGCAGGGAGGAGAGAAGTTGGAACTGAAACTAAAATGAAACAATTTATAAAAAAAGAAATAGAGGTTGGGATGGGTGGTGCTGGGGGTGGGAGTGGACATCTGGAACACAAACGGGGGGGTTGGGGGCAATGACTGGGGTGGAGGGGATAGAAGAAGTCAAATAAAAGAGATGGCTCAGGAAGGAGTAGTTCGGGAGGTAAGGCAAGGTGAAGCAAGAGAGTGAATTCTCTGGAATCTATTATTATTACTATTATTAGAACCTAAAATGGAAAAAAGAACAGAAATTACTTACTCCAGAGAAGAAGTGAATGGTGGGAGTAGGTGTGATAGAGTGGAAGGCTACTGGGAAGTCTCCTGGGAGGAATAAGGGAAACCAGATGGGTTAACATTAGGACAATGGGGAAGGGGTGTGGATAATAGGGAAAGGTAGAATATGGCCTGGAGGAAATAGGTGAGACTAGAGTAAGACTGGAGGAATGATCTGGGGGTAGACCAAGTCAGGATGGGGTGGGCCTGTGAGGAGAAGAGGTTGAGGGCTGGGTGAGGTGCCTGGCCTGACAGGAGACAGTCACTGTTTGTCCTTCCCAGCATCCCCAGTCATCTCCCAAGCCCCAGAGACCATCTCCCGTACGAGGGCGAGCACAGCACGTTTCGTGTGCAGGGCGGAGGGCGAACCAGCACCAACGCTACATTGGCTACGGAATGGAGAACCGCTGCTGTCCAATGGAAGGGTCAAGATCCAGGCTGGCGGAGGCAGCTTGGTCATCACACAGATTGGCCTGGAGGATGCTGGCTACTACCAGTGCGTGGCCAAGAACAGACTAGGGACAGCATGTGCCACGGCTCGCCTGGCTGTCATTGTCCGAGAGGGGCTGCCCAGTGCCCCCACCAGAGTGGCTGCCACCCCACTGACCAGCACCTCAGTCCTGGTGTCCTGGGAGCGGCCAGAGCTGCACAGTGAGCAGATCATTGGCTTCTCCCTTCACTACCAGAAGGCACTGGGTATGTCCCTCTTGTACTTCCCACCTAGGACACAGTAAAGAGAAGTAGAGGGATTTAGATTAAAATCAGAAAGGACTGCCTTATGAAAAGTGGGAGGTGGAGGGAGGAAACATTAGGTCTAAGGATCTCTGGGGATTCTTAAGAACACCCCCTTGGTGTTTGTCTTCCTCCCCCTGGAGAAACCAATGAAAGGGAGTGGGGTGTGAGTGGCAATGGAGGTTGTACATTGGGAGGAATTATCTGGTGCTGCAGGGGATAGGAGAGACTGGACCAGGGGATACCAGGAAGCTTTGGCAGATATTTTAGGACTAAAGGTACCAGTCTTGTGTATGTGGGCTACAGGAAGGGCAGTCCACCTGAGAAGCAAGGGGCTGGATTGTATGTCTTTTAAAGGCTTTCAGAAATGGATGTGGGGGGGTGGGGTGGGGGGTGGGGAGGAGTTCTCTGGTTCTGACCTGAAAAGTAGTTGTTTTTAGAAACAGATTTTGTTTTGTTACAGAGGAATTTTGTGGTATTCTTAGAATCCTTATTAGAGCTCCCAGGGTGTCCTCCATCCTTACTCAACCTATTTATGGCAGTAAAAGAGATCTCAGACCTCAGGAAAAGGGTGTAAAGACTAAGACAGGCAGCAGCTGAGAAAGGTCATGCATTTTTAATCCCAGGAGAACATTAAAAGCAACATTCATTCTCCCCACCCCCACCCCCCAATGATGTAATTATGGCTCTTTTTAGATGCAGAGGACTGGTCTAGGTAACCTCCAACTCTGGCCAGCCTCAGGGAGGAGTGTTCAGGTCTGAGTTTGAACTTGTGTCCAGCTGCCTTTTGGGGACTTTTCGTGTCCTTCCTCCCTCCCTCCCTCCCTCACCTTCCTTCTTGATCCCTAATCTCCCAGGCACAGACAACGTGGAGTACCAGTTTGCTGTCAACAATGACACAACAGAGATGCAGGTCCGAGACCTGGACCCAGACACCGACTATGAGTTCTACGTAGTGGCCTATTCCCAGCTGGGAGCCAGCCGCACCTCAGCCCCTGCCCTCGTCCGTACCCTGGATGATGGTATAGCTGCTGAGCCACTGATCCTTGGGGAATAAGTGGGGAGATGGGACCTGGCATGGGGGGAGTCCAAGAGATGCCCTTAACCTCTTAGTTCTCTATATATTTCAGAAATGAGGCCCTTATCAGAAACACTAGTTGTAAAAATTCTTTCCCAGTTTTCTGCTTCTCTTTTAATCTTGGTTGCAATGGCTTTGTTTGGGCAAAAATTTTCAAATTAATGTAATCAAAATTATCCATTTTGCATTTTATAATGTTCTCTCCTGTTTGGTCATGAATTCTTCTGTTCTTCGTGAATCTGATAGGTAAACTATTCCTTGCTCTCTTAGTTTGCTTATAGTATCAGCCTTTATATCTAAATCATGAACCCATTTTGACTTTATTTTGGTATATGGTATAAGATGGTGGTCTGTGCCTAGTTTCTGCCATACTCTTCTCCAGTTTTCCCAGCAGTTTTTGTCAGATAGTGAGTTCTTATCCCAGAAACTGGGGTCTTTGGGTTTATCAAACAGTAGATTACTATAGTCATTGACTCAGACTGTGTCTTGCATACCTCACCTATTCCACTGATCCACCGCTCTATGTCTTAACCGGTACCAAGTAGTTTTGATGATTGCTGCTTTATAATACAATTTAAGATCTGGAACGGCTAGGATGCCCTTAATCTCAATAATTGATCATAGTGTTTCCTAAAACTTGCTTACAACTTTTCCCTTGACAAAGTGCTTTTTCATCCATCATATCATTCTTTCTTCTCAACAGCTATGTGCAGTGAGTGGGCAAAGCAGGTGTCACTAGTTCTATATGATAAATGAGGAAATTGAGATCTAGGAAGTGACTTGTTCGAAGTCAAACACAGTATATTAGAGGCAAAGTTGCTATTAGAACACCATTCTCCTGACTTTCAGTCTAGGACTCTCTCCCATCATACTATCTCTCCTAGCCTCCATGCTTCCCCTAAGCAGCTTTTAAACTGAACCAGCTGTGAGCTGAGCAATTAGCCCTGAAACCAGGCTACAGAAAGCCAAAAATGGGTTCTCAAACAGTTGCTTCCCAAACCCCATTTCTCAGGTTTCTCGGTAAGACTGGGGACCCATTAACTTCCCAGGTCTCTTCTACAATCATAGAAGACCCCTTCAGACTTTGGCAGTCTAAAGCAGATGTGTCCAAGACTGCTATCCCCCAGAATTCTCAAGTGTGGCTGAACCACATTAAAATGTAGTGGGGAAATATTTAACAAAATGAAAATGCAACATAAATCATATTAATATGCAGTTTTCCCAATCAATGTACCCATCAGGTTCCCTATTTATGGATTAGTGGTCCCATTTCAGTTTGAGTTTGATACCACTGGTCCAGGATGTGGTGGTCCCATGAGCCTCCCAAATCAGATTCAAATGTAGTTGGGAAATATTTAACAAAATAAATAAAAAAAGAAAATTTAACAAAATAAATAAATAACCAAAAAAATCCAGAGATAACATTGCATTTTTAAACTAAGTCAATATGTAGTCTGCAGGGATGCTTGTGGATGGTTTTAGTGACTGGCAGTTCTGAGGCTGACCCTGCTGGTCTAGAGGCCTCGGGCATCACCTCTTCTAGCTTTCTCGGTTTTCCCCAGCTTTTCTACTCAACCTAAAGGTTCTGGTCTGACTCTTTCACTAGCACACTGTGATGTTGGACAGGTTGTTTTATTTCTCTGGACCCCATTTCCTCATCAGTCTGATAAGCCTCACACTAATACTTGGTTCTCAGTACCCAGTGCTGCACCCCAGCTTTCCTTGTCGAGCACTACTCCTGGGGACATCCGCCTGACCTGGCTGCCTTTGCCACCCTCCTTGAGCAATGGGAAAGTTGTGAAATATAAGATTGACTACTGCACATTAAGAGAAGGTGAGTGTAAGGTGGGGGTCCATTTAGGCCCCTGGCTTTGTCCTGGCCTGGTTGAAGAAGAGGATTAACACTGGATGGGAGGGTGATAGGTGCATAGAATAGCATGGTATGTCAGACACCATGTAGAACTGGGTAGAATTACCAGGTAGAATTGGGTAGGTTAGCGAGAGTCAGCTGTAGCAGGAGAAATTGGGAAAAGAATGAGATGGGATAGGGAGAAAGGGAAGGGTAGGCCAGGAAAGACAGAGAGAAGGGAGAGTGGAAAAAGTTAGGGCAGGGTTGAGGAGATGACTTCTGTCGGTACATTGAATGGGAAAATGAATGAATGAAAAAGCATTTATTGGGCCCTTATCATTTACCAAGCACTGTTTCAAACAGTGGTGATTACTGGTTAAGGTCAGGTGATAGGATGGATAGGGTTTAGGGCCTCCTCTAAGTTAGGAGATTCTGTCTCCTGGGTTTGGAGGTGGTGCAGACAGACAGCAAGATGAAAATGGGAACTTGAGACTTCCCACCTCCTTATCTTTTCCCCTTAGCCCCACTATCCCTCTGGCTCTGAAGTGGTAGGTAGTCCTAGGTGATGTTTTGGGGGTGGGAGACTATCCTCTTATACTATGGCTTGATAGGCATAGGGAAGGAGGATTTCATTGGGAACCCCCACCTTGAAAGGGGAAGGCAGTATGGAGCAGTGACACCTCTCCAGGTCAGGCAAACCTGGCTATATGTTCTTGAACTTGCATCTAAGTGTTCAAGGGCCTAGGGTCTTGGTGTCCAGGGCTGAGTAACTGGGAGGCCAAGTGAGGGTCTAGTGTCAGGGTCCCAAAGCTGTTGCTAACTCGGATCCTTTTTCTGCCTTTAACAGATCAAGTTTTTTCCACTGAGGTCTCTGGAAATGAGACACAGCTCATGTTATACTCCTTACAACCCAATAAAGTGTACAGGGTGCGCATTGCCGCGGGCACCAGCGCAGGCTACGGGGCCCCCTCCCAATGGACACAGCACCGAACGCCCAATACGGAAAACCAGACCCACAGTATGGACAGCAGAGGGATGTGCTGTGGGAGAGGAGGTGTAGAGGAGGGGAATTTGTATGTTATGGGCACAAGACCATATAGGAGTGTGTCTGTAGATGGGTCTGCATGGGTATGTATTGCAAGGTGAATGGTTTTTCATGTATTGTGAGGATGTGTATGTTTATGTATGTGAGGATGCATGTGTTTATGTCAGAGTGTGTTTTCATATATGGTATGATGTGTATCCTTATAAAAGTGTGAGTATACCCCAAAAAAGTCATCTCTCTAATAAGAGCTTGCGGGCCAGAGCAGATGAGCAGTCTATAGAATTTGACTATATTCTTAGCCTTGCCTCTAGAATGGATTTGGAGGTGAGCACTGTGTTTAACTGGAGAGAAGATAGCCCCCAGAGAACCAGGAAGGGGGATTCATGTTAATGTTCATTGGAATAAGCATCTGAGAGTTATTATATGCTTTTTTTCTTACCCCTACCTTTGTTTCTTCCTCCATCTCCTCCAAACATTCAATTCCCTCCCCTTTGTTCTCTTACCATTTCTGAATCCATTTTCCTTTTTCATCTAATCCCTCCCCTCCTTGTCCCTTCACTGCACCCAGTCCCCTTTGCTCCCTCAGATTTGAAGGTCAGGGCGAGGATGGAATCCTTGGTGGTGACGTGGCAGCCGCCTCCTCACCCTATCCAGATCTCAGGCTACAAGCTGTACTGGAGGGAGGTGGGAGCTGAGGAGACAAGTGAAGAGAGGTCTTCCGGTGGTGGGAGTCGTGGGGACCAGGTCTGGGACGTGGGGCCTGTCAGACTCAAGAAAAAAGTGAAGCAGTATGAATTAACTCAGCTAGGTGAGGAAGGAATGGGCAGGGAGGGCAGGAGCCCCTGGACCTTTAAGGGGAAACTTACACATCCCTCCCTCTGTGCCCCATCCCTAAATGTTCAACTTGAGGAATCCATGAATCTGGGGAGTGGAATTCAGGGACATTCCCAGGGCAGTGATACCAGAAGTCAAGGGTCAGAATCTCTAATTAGTGATGGGTGGGTGGAGGTCAGAATTTGGGGTTTCTGATCATAGAAGTCTTAGAGATCAAGTTGGGTCAGTGAACCTAGGGATCAGGAGTCAACATCAGGGCAGCTAGGTGGCACAGTGGATAGAGCACCGGCTCTGAAGTCAGGAAGACCTGAGTTCAAATCCAGCCTCAGACCAAACACTTGACACTTACTAGCTGGGTGACCCTGGGCAAATCACTTAACCCCAATTGCCGAAAGAAAGAAAGAAAGAGAAAAGGAGTCAACATCTGTGGGTCAGGGATAAGGACCTTTAATCAGTGATCCCCTGTGACTTCTCTAGCACCTGGACGACTGTATGAAGTGAAGCTTGTTGCGTTCAACAAGCATGAAGATGGCTACGCAGCCGTGTGGAAGGGCAAGACGGAGAGGGCACCCGCAGCAGGTAAGAGCCTGGCTGGGTATTGGAGGTCAGCTCCCCTTTTTTCTGTTTTCACCACTTTAGCACCAGAGTCATCAGGCTAATCTGATAGACTGAAATATGAGTTAGAGGCAGAATGGGAACTGGGCCCCAAGTATCTGGATTCCCAGTCCAGTGTATTTCCCTTGAACATCTAGAGTAGTTAGGAGAAGTCTACATGGCCTACCCTCTTGGACTGAACTCTTCATTCTTCCCTCCTCCCTGCTTCCTTTCCAACAGACCCACCAGTCCAGAAGAGCCCACCCCTGCCCCCAGCCCATGTACATGCAGAGTCCAACAGCTCCACATCCATCTGGCTGCGGTGGAAGAAGCCAGACTTCACCACAGTCAAAATTGTCAACTACACAGTTCGCTTCAGCCCTTGGGGGCTCAGGAATGCCTCCCTGGTCACTTACTACACCAGGTAAGGGAACAGAGAGCATGCAAATGGGGAAGGGGACACAGGGAGTGATGGGCAGGAAGACGTGGGGTAAGGGATTCAGGAACCTATCACTGCTCCCTCACTTCACCAGAGTGAGGATGGTCAGGGATTATACCAGGGCCGTCACTGCCTTTAGAACAGTAAACCTGTAGGAAAAAGGAAAGGGTATGACATTGGAATTAAACCCCCACAGGACAGAGCCCTCCTGTACTTAGTACTTGAACATGTTACAGAATAGACAATGTTTTCAACTTCCTGGGAGTGCCCTATCTGTTGAGGAAGATGTGGTTTCTGCCCTTAGGGAGCTCCTACTTCATAGGGGAGGGGACAGGATATACACACACCCACATATAGCAATGGTGAAATTTTGTTGAGAGAGGATAGGCCAGGCATTGTATTGTTTGGACATAAAATGGGCTGGACCTAAGTGTGCCTGGAGGAAGTAGCTTAGAGTTGAAATTTTAAATTAGAAAATGAATGTATCCAGGGTCCCTCCCCTCTGGATATGACTTGGTTTGATGTGCCAAAGCTAAGTGCTTCTAGAAGTCTCTACATATCTGCCCCACCTCAAAGAGGAAAGTGGGAAACCAGTGGGATGGGCCTCAGCGATGGGGGACATTGGGAAGGGGAGGGCCAGGGTCAGACTCAGTGCTCAATTGAGTTCTTCCCCTGACAGCTCTGGCGAAGACATCCTCATTGGGGGACTGAAGCCATTCACCAAATATGAGTTTGCAGTGCAATCCCATGGAGTGGGCGTGGATGGCCCATTTGGTTCTGTGGTGGAACGTTCTACTCTGCCTGACCGTGAGTGACTCTGTAACTGCCTCTCTCATTCCCTTCACTCTCGGCAGGTTCCTAATCTCCTTTCAGGACCTGATTCAACCACCTTGAGATTCTTTATCTCTAAAGAGGATGACTTTATGGTGTAACGGAAAGAGTTCACCTGCCTTGGAGTCAGGAGTTCTAATCTTGGCTTGTCCACTTACTAGTTTATCTAATTCAACTTTGGAAAATCATTTATTCTCCCCAAGCCTCACTTTTATCACCTGTAAAATGGGAGTGATAATTTTTGCCTGCCTCATGAGAATCAAATAGGAAAAGGGAACAGACAAGTTTTTGTAAATGATTTCTGCAGCCACAGTTGACTGAAAGGTGAAATAGATACAGTTTCCTGGTGTATTTACTGTTTGTGGATCTTTTAAAATTTGAACTAAAGAACAAAGCAGTGGCTCTTTCTCCAACAGGTCTTTGCCTGTGTAAGACTCCCCCAGTATGTTAAGATCATACAAGATTCTTTGACAGATGTAAATATGAGGATTGTTTTGTACATTGAATTCTCTGATTATTAACATACAAGAGGACCTGAAACAGAGATATATTTTTCAATTGAATTCAATAAACATTTATTAAGTGCCTACTATGTGCCAGGCACCGTGATGAGTAATGGGGATATAGATATTAAAAATATAGTCCCTGCCTTCAAGGAACTTACACTCAGATGGGGGAGACAACACACAAAAGGAGAAGGAAAAGCTGGGGCAGGGGGTTACAAAGGAGAAGAAGCAATGGGGTACCTGGCGGGGGCATGTTCTGTGGAATGGAAGTCAAGCAGAGCTGCTGACGGAGAATGGAGTTACCAGAAAGATTGTTAGCCCTCTATTAAGGAAGGCTTATGCTGGTTGTCGTGGTGATCCATCACAGAATACAAGTTGAAGACAAATTTCTTATGCATAGAGAAGTCTTCCAGATTCTTCCCTTTGTGCATAGCATCCTATCAAGATTTGGAACGTTACAGAGACTTCCTAGATGAGCTCTATAACCACTTAAAAGAGTTTGGCCTATGCATCCACACAAGAAAAACCAAATGGATGGAGATGTTTATTGTGCAGATTATGACATGCATTTAGACAAATAGAGCTCTTCTATCATATATCTGCCTATCTATATATGTAGTGATATCTTGGACAAGATATGTATTTATGACAAATGGATAATGGATATATAAATGGATAATGAGTTGGGGCTCAAATCAAATAAGAGTGGAAGAGCAGGCTGAATTGCCTTTGAGAAATTACAAAGCCCCTTTAATGACCCCACACTTCTCCCAGACACAAAGGCTCATCTTTTTAATATTGATGGTCTCGTAGTCTATTTTTTAAAAATGACTTCAAGTCATGGAACACATCAGCCTCCAAAGAATTAAAAATGAAGATCATTCAGGGGGCAGTAGAAAATCACATGGTAGGTGGGAGCTAGCCATAACATATAAAAAAATAAAGAACTTTAAAAAATTAAAGAAAGGTGTCACTGGGGAAGCATATGATAGAAAAAGGTGAGCTGGACATATGGTAAGAGCAGGATGTGTATGCCACTAGTATCTATACCACAGAAATAGAAATTGAAGAAGGCTTCTAGGACAACGGATGGGCCCTTCGCAGTGAACTTGATAGAAGACATGGGTGAGAATTACATAGGCTAGGCAGGGATGAATGGGTTTGCTGTCTGCTTTACTAGAGGAAAGAGCCAAATTAAGGTGATCACAAATATGAGTCTTCTTCTAGAGATGTTTTTTGTCTGTGGATCCTAGAACATCATCATACCTGAAAAATAAAAATTGTGGATGACCCAAAGGTCAATAGAGAGGCAAATGGTGGGTTTAAGTGGCTCCCACATATTTTCAGTAGTGAGACTTGAACACTAAAAGTAATGTCAAATATATCCTATGATCAGAAAATGAGGTGGGCCAGTCATTTATCAAGGGTAAGGAATAACAGATGGACAGCCCAAGTGCTATATCGGTGCCTAGGAAATATTAAAAAGAACCTAAAGGAAGATACCATGGTGCAGTAGAAAAAGCAGTAGATTTGGAGTTGAGAACCTGGATTCAAATCCCAACTCTTGGGGCAGCTAGGTGGCACAGTGGATAGAGCATCGAACCTGGAGTCAGGAGGTCCTGAGTTCAAATGCAGCCTCAGACACATAACACTTACTAGCTGTGTGACCCTGGGCAAGTCACTTAACCCCAATTGCCTCACCAAAAAAAAAAAAGCAACAAATCCCAACTCTTCCATTTACTGCCTGTTAATATCAGGCAATTTATTTAACCTCTCTAGTCTCAAGTTTCTGTATCTATAAAATAAGGGAGCTGAAATACATCAACCTAAGAACCCATCAAGCTCATGATCTATGATCCACTTCTTCCCACCAACATATTGGGTAGACTTCCTTTGGAGGAGTATGGACATATACCAATCGACAAGCATGTCTTATGAGCTTACTGTGTGCCACACGCTATGCTTGGTGCTGGGACTACAGATACAAACATGAGACAGTACCACCCTCCAGGAATTTTATTCTTCTGGGAGAGTATACCATGGACACTGATAAGAAAATATAGGTTGGATGCAAAATATATATCTGGTGATGGGGAGGGAGGGCACTAACAACTGGAGGCACCAGAAAAAGCCTCTTCTAGAAAATGGCATATGAGCTAAGCCTTCAAGGGACCTAAGAGTGAGAAATGAGGAGAGAGCGTTGCTGCTATGGTAGATAGTCTATGCAAAGATGTGGAGGCTGGAGATGGAAAGTTGTCCATGGGGACCAGCAAGGAGGCCATTTTTACCAGAGCAATGGTTCTCAAACTTTTGATCCTGGGACCCTTTTACACTCTAAAAAAATTCTTGAATTTTTGAGTTTGAATTTGAAGAGCTTTGGTTTATGTGGGTTATATCTGTCAATATTTATCATGTTAGATATCTAAATGTCTTAATATTATTATGAAAACAGTTTTGGTCTCCTGGACCCTCTGAAAGATCCCCTGGTCTCAGGGAATCCAGAAGTCCCCAGAGCACATTTTGGGAAACAGCACAAGGTGTGTGAGGGGCAGCCATGTGGAATTAGCACGAAAAGGTAGGCTAGAACCAGATTGTGAAAGGCGTTAAATGCCAAACAAAGGAGTTTGCATTTTGTCCTCCAGAGGAAAGGAAGCCAGAGAAGATTCTTGAGCAAGAAAGTGACCTGATCAGACTTGTGCTTTGAGACTATCAATTCCACCTGTGTGGAGGCTGGATTGGGAAGGAGAGAGAATGGATGCAGGAGGACCAGTATGAATAGGGGAAAACACCAGCTCAGTTGTAATCTGTCCCATTATACCCCTGGACCAGTTCAGCCCCAAAACACTGAATGAAAATAAAGCCCTACACAAACATTAGGGAAGGGAACAAGCATTTATTAAGCACCTACTATGTGCCAGGCACTGTATAAATATTTTATATGCTCCTCACAACAAGCCTGGGAGGTAGGTTCTTATTTTACAGTTGAGGAAACTGAGGCAAACAGAAGTTATATGACTTTTCCAGAGTCACACACTGACTCCAGACTCAGTGCTCTATCCACTGTACCATCTGACTGCCTCTGTTATAAGAGGCTGTGGTGATGGTGTTGGTAATAATAGTGTGTGTCCATATCTGAGGTTTCACTGGTGTTTGGAATTCTATCAATGCAGATTGAGAATTCATCTGTAATATGGGCTTAAAGAGGGGCAGCTAGGTGGTGTAGTGGATAGAGCATCGACCCTGGAGTCAGGAGGACCTGAGTTCAAATCCAGCCTCAGACACTCGACACTTACTAGCTGTGTGACCCTGGACAGGTCACTTAACCCCAATTGCCAAAAAAAAAAACCAGGCTTACCTGAAGAAAATATAAAGTTACCTGAAACTAAGAAATGATGTGCCTTGCTCAGTGCTGGTGCAGGTCAGGCCCACTGCATTTGAACCTGGGCCTTCCCCTCTCCAAACACTATACTACACTGCTCTCATGACAGTGATAATCATAACTCCTCTGTCACATGTATACTTTCTTTAGCACCTGCTCAGAAAGTCCATTAACAATTTTTAAACTTCTAAATGTTTTAGGCTGATGACATGAAAGAGTCAATCTATAAATGGCATTTAAAGGCAAATTGGATGTTGTTAGCACAGCTGATAGGGACTGGCCTCGGGCTTTTATTGTATAGGGAACTCCCAGATGAGGAAAGTCCCTCTACCAATGAAAGCTGGCCATCTCCTCTGTAACATAGAGTCTGTAAAAAGAGTTGCCTGGAGCAGTAAAAGGTGAAGTGATTTGTCCAGCAAGTACCTCTCAGTGGGAGGAGTTGAGCCCAGGTCTTCCTGGGCTTCAGGCTTCCTGTCTGCTCTGTCAGGCTGCCTTCTTCTCTTACCCAGCTGCCACGGGCCTCAGTTCTGCTGAATGCAGGCTTCTGAGGCTGGTCGGTTTGTTGAACTCTGGATAGGAAATAAGTTACATTGTGTACTGTTGTGTGATCTGGTTATCCAGAGCTTCGATAAATTTGAATCTCAGTGTTATATACATATTATCTGTAGTATGCCAGCACTTTCAGGTTAAATTTCCATTATTTGGAAAGTACAGAAGGACTTTATGGAAGCTGCTCTCCAAGGTACTTTGACAGATATGATCCTTATTGAAAACTCGCGAGGCTGTTATCACCCCTGTCTTACAAATGGGAAAACTGAGACCCAGCAAAGTGAATCTAAAGATCACCCAGTAAGTTAGGGACAGAGCCAGGATTAGAAAGAACTCAACTTACCTAACTCCAAACCATTACTGTTTCCACCATAATACACCATATTTCCCTGTACCCTTGTCTCTTGTCCCACACTCTGTAGGGTCCTTAACGATGCCTCTTTCCCATTGCCTCCTCCCATCTATTAGGCTCTCAGCATCCCTTTCTACTTCCTTTAATGCCATGCCCCCTTCAATGTTTAAGTCTTAGTGACTGTGCCCCTGACTGTGTTCCCCTTCTAACTTTACGCAGGGCCCTCCACCCCTCCTTCTGACCTTCGCCTAAGCCCTCTCACCCCATCTACAGTCCGACTCCGCTGGTGTCCGCCCGTGGAGCCCAACGGGGTGATTGTGGAGTATCTGATCCTTTACAGCTCCAACCACTCAAAACCTGACCACTTGTGGACTCTGCTCACCACAGATGGTGAGTGTGCCCGGGGCCTCCCAGCCCACAGAGTCCTCTCAGGCAGTTTGCAAACTGTCCCATCTCTTCTGTCTTCCTCCATGACAGGCCCAAGTGGTAATTCATCTTTGGAGGGGAACTCTCCAGCTCATTCCAGAACTTAGGAAATTCTTTCAACCGTTTAACCAAAGCCTGTCTTCTTGTTCATTTAGTTAGGAGCAAGATGCTGGTGTGGGGCTAGCTTGAACACCTCCTAGTGAATCAGGGGCTCCTTGGCCAGGAGGTCGGCTGGTGGGGGTGTGACAGGGGTGGGGAAATGTAGCAGAGTTTTTCAGGAAGCTTCTTTCTGTGACCATCCCCATTGACCACCAACCAACATTGTTTCCTCTGTTTTTCATGCTCTCCCTTAGGAAACATCTTTAGTGCTGAGGTACATGGGTTGGAAAGTGACACTAGGTATTTCTTCAAGATGGGGGCACGGACAGAGGTGGGACCAGGGCCATTCTCTGGTCTGCAGGATGTGCTCACCCTGCAGGAGAAGCTTTCAGGTATGGGTTGGGGGAGGAAAGAACTCATATCAGACGGCTCTCCAATGGGAGGGGTATCCAGAAGGAACCTGAGACATACCATTTAGGAGCTAGTTCTGAAATCACAGAAGACTTGAATGAATGACATCCTCCTCTCTCCCCACCCCAAAGATCATTTCACCTAGTCTCCTGGGTTGAGACAAGACTAACCCTGAGCCATTTCAGACGGTTACCCTTCTGATTTGATGAATGAGTTAGTTGGGTTGAAAGACCTATTTCACACTGGAGACTTTCTGATTTAGGAGATCTGTTTGGTAGGAAAGCTAATGCTAACTGAGGGTCTGATTTGGTGGTGGGGTCTGGGAACTAAGTTTGGGATCCTGGATTGGTGGGAACACAGATTTCATAAGGAAGCCATTTGTTTTGAGTGGGGGAAGAGGTTAATGGCTTCATTAGGAGACCAGTTTGGCTTGGCAGGCAAGGGGAGGGCAGTTGTTTCACTGGGGGGTTGATTTAGAATATTTTCTAGAAATGACGTTTTTTGAATGTCCAGTGCATGCCAAAAGTCCCGTGGTAGGCAAGGGCTGGGTTAAGGACTCTTCCAACATAACCTGCTTGACATGTTGCCCAAAATCAGTGTTGCCCATGTTTATGTGTTAAGGATGTGTTCTGGGTCTTCCCATGGAAGGTATAAGGACCCTCAGGATATCTTGAATACTTGGAACTGTCTACAGCACATGGTACTTTGATTGTCCACAGTCTCTCTCTTACATCTTTCAGATGTCCTGGACGTGCACTCGGTCACAGGCATCATTGTGGGTGTCTGCCTAGGCCTGCTCTGCCTCCTTGCCTGCATGTGTGCTGGCCTTCGAAACAGCTCCCACAGGTGAATGAGAAGTATAAATCAAAGGTTCCTCAGCCTTTCTCCTCCTCTTTCTCCTTCTCCTCCATAAAACATCACCCTAGGGGCAGCTAGGTGGCACAGTAGATAGAACACTGGCCCTGAAGTCAGAAGGACCTTAGTTCAAATCCAGCCTCAGACCAAATACTTAACACTTGCTAGCTAAAAAAAAAAATAAATCACTCTGAACAGTGGCAGTCAGTCAGCAAGTAGATATTAAATGCTTACTGTATGCCAGGCTTTGTGCTAAGCACTGGGGACACAAAGAACCATAAAAAAACATTGTTCCTGCCCTCAAGGCACTTGTATTATAATGGGGGAGATGGAACTAGCTTCCACAAAAGATTTAGATAACTTCTGGATGAGAGCTTAGGGGTGGATATCCTTATAAATAAGAATTCCCTTATAAAAGGAATAGTATGTTTGGAGATATCCCTAATTTTTGAGATGATATCAAGGAGTGAAACCATGGCCTCCCTCCAAATGGCCCTTGGACACCCCCATCCAAGATCAGACACTGAGCTGGAGGAACTATTAGTGATGATTATAAAATGAAAGATGGGGTTTGGAAACATGCACTATTTATTTTAAGGATCTGCCCCAGAATCTCTTTGGTCATAGCTTGCCCCATATATCTTCATTGTTGCTGGTTTACTGGCTCCAGGGCCATCTCCAGTCGTCCTGATCTATATCTTGCCACTGGACCCAGATGGCTCTGGAGGAGAAAGTAAGGCTGGTGACTTTTCCCAGTCCTGCCTCACTTACATCCAATTCACTTGCAAGTTATGGCATCATGTTCTGATGTCCTTCCTGATGTCATGGTCCTTTTCAAGAACAAAGGACAGACAGTAACAACAAGAAGCAGCACTGGTTCCTTCTCGCTTCCTTACCCTACACCCTGTGATGGTGGAGAGGATCTCAGTGACATGCCAACATCACTCTCCATAGAATACAGCTGACAAAGGCTGACAAAAGAAGCTTTCTCCCTCCTCTTCGTTCTTTCTATCATCTTGGATCAGCATTTGGGGGAAGAGATTAGAAAAAGAGAAGGGGCTAGGGGAAATAGGAAGAGTTGACATTATATGTTTCCAAGTTGAATAATTTCCCTAGACACAGAGTTGCCTAGTAAAAGACAGCCCTGCCTAGCCCTTCCCTTTTCTACTGTTCTGGGTCAATGAGATATTCCACTGCTGCCGCCACCCCCCCCCACCCCCCACCCCCGGCAGTGGGGATAGGCAGGAAGAGGAATCAGTTCTTCCTTCTGTTCAGCTTTTGGACTTAATCTGAAATCGGCAATGTGAATCAAGTTCTTTTTTTTAATTTATACTTTTCCTTTAATAAATTTATTATTTGTTTTTACCATTCTTTTTTTAAATTTTGAATTCCAAATTCTTTTCCCACCTCCAGTCCTTTCCACACCCATTTAGAAGGCAAGCAATGTGATATCAGTTATACCCTTGAAATCATGCAAAACCTATTTCTGTATTAGTAAGTCATCTTCATTATCCAAGACACACTCTACCACTTCTTTCTCACCCCAGCCTAGATTCAGAAGAGAGGACTTTTCAGGATGGGTGGGAAAAGGACAATGGCTGCCAGGTGGAGATGCCATCCATTCACCCAGGCTGCGTTAGATAGAATCATAGATTTAGATCTAGAAGGGCCTTAGTGGTCACTGAGTTCATTTTACAGATGAAGAAACTGAGGCTAAGAGAGGTTAAATGACTTGACCAGGGTCATACAATGTCTGAGACAGGATTCAAACCCAGGTTCTCCTGACCCACATCCAACACTCTATCTACTGCTCCACAATGGCAGAATCTGGTCTTTGTCTTTGGACTTATCCAGGTGTTAGGACAATGATTTCCTGCTTCAGATGAGGCTTAGAATAGATAATTGCTGAGGATTCTTCCAGTTGAGAAATTGTTGTTTCTTATTGGAAATGAAATAAAAACAGGTGGGAATTCTTGGCCAGGGGATATGTCATCATTCATTCAGGAGACACTCCAAGGATTTAGGATCCATTTGCTCATACTCCAATACCAATCAATGGCTTCTGGATTTTTTCAAGATTCCTCCCCCACCCCAAGCACACCACTTATTCCTTTTCCTTTTTCTCCATCTCTCCTCTTCTGTAGGGAATCACTCCCTGGCCTGGCCTCTCCCACTGCTGAGAACCCTCGACTTTACTCCCGTGCCCAGCTGGGTCCACCTGGTCCACCTGCTGCCCATGAACTCGAGTCCCTTGTGTGTCCTGACCCCCGGCTCCAGGATGGGTCCCTCTCTCCTTTCCCAGATCTTGACGAGGCAGCTGAAGTGCACAGCCTCATGGGCGGTGGCATTGAAGGTCGCGGTCACACCAAGAGAAAGGTGACATTTGTAGACCCTTGTCCACAAGAGTCCTCAGGTTGACCACATCTCTACGGTTTGGTGGCTTCCTCGAGCTGCTCCCACGTGTCAGTTCTCTCTTAGGACACCAGGGGGTGGCAGAGTATAGCATGTGCCAAGCGATAATTTCCATTTCCTCTGGGCCAGATGTCAGTGGAGAAGGGGAGAACAGATGGACCACCAGCCCTCTGGCAAATTTGGCCAATTTGGTTCTCACGGAGGGGAAGGGTTCCATATAGACACCATGGGTAACCCTTAGTGATCAAGAGCCCCATTCAGAACAGCTAGGATGACCTCCAAGGTCAATCCCCCTCCCTCCCCAGTAGACTCAACTTCTCTTGCTGGTCCTTCCTTCTACTCTACCCACCACCCACTTCACTCCCCTGTAGACAGTGAGCACATCTGAAATGGGATCAATAGTAAATGGCATAAACTTAAAGTAGGAATATAATGTCCTAGATCCTGATCATTCATCCAAACTTCCTCCCTTCCCCCACACTCACTGATTCACTTACCATGCCCCATGCCTCCACTTCAGACTCTGGAGATTTAACCAGATGCCTTTCCCAGTGTAAAACAGATCCCTCTCCTCTCCTGTCCTGTCCCCCCACACACAGACATTGACCCCTGCCCTCTCTCCCAATAGAGCCATTCCTAACATCTTTCCCATCAGGAAAGAACCAGTCAGCTTGATCTCCTAGTTTTTATCCTTTATATCTTAAGGCCTATGTAAAAGGACATCTTTCACCTATAAATTTCACCTTTCAGGCTCCCTCACATACTGCCTCCATTCACTCCATCCCTACCCCGTAGCAGAATCTGGCTTTGACTTTGAACACTGACCAGTCTTTTACCCTTTGCCTGCAGGTCACATGGGCTCAGTCTGGAGGGCTGAGCTGGTCAGGAACCTGGGCTGGATGTGGGGCACCTCAGACAGGGGCTAACTCTGCTCTGACCCAAGCCCTGCTGCCCCCAGCTGGAGCAGGGCAGACCCTGCTACTTCAGGCCCTGATGTATGATGCCATGATGGTTAGTGTATACGGAGAAGTGGGAATGGTGAGGGTTTGGGCCAGCATTTGGTGTGCGGGAACAGCCCTCATCAGGTATCACCCATCAACTCTTCTTTGGGATAAAGAGGTATCTCATTAGCTAAACCTGTTATCTAGGAGTACATGGGATTTGTGAATTACCTAGGGATTCCAGTCTTCCTCTGGAAATGAATATGTTGGTTAAGAAGGGTACATGAAGGGCACTGGTTCTGAAGAATTTGGGTTCATTTGGGAACTTCTCTGTACCTCTTTCCCTCCAACCTATCCTGCTCAGCATCTTATAAAGGGACATGAACCTTCAGAGTGGCCTCAAAACTATATGGAAATGTTTCAGACCTCACAGTCTCAGACCCACCCATTGTGGTTCTGGAGCTCCTCTGACTTAAGGGGATTGGGACGACTGGATGTCCATCTCTTAGTCTTATCTGCTTGATACGTAACAGAATAATTCTTATTTATATAGCACATTCAGGTTATAATGAGAAGGCAGAGTGGAGTAATGGAGTCAGAGGACCTGAATTTGAATCTATGTTCTGCTATTTAGCACCTACATAACCTTGATCAAGTGACTAAATCTTTCTGGGCTTCAGTTTTCTTATCTATAAAATAAGAAAATTGGGTTAGATGATCCTTAAGTCCCCTAGAACTGTGATTCTAGAAAGACAATGAACTTTCCTCACAATTCTGTAAGATGGGTTATTATCCATATTTTACAGATGGGGAAACTGAGTCTCAGATGGAGTCATTTGGCATTGGTTACGTAGCTAGTATTGCATCTGTGACCATAAGCCTTATACTCTTTCCGCTACAGTGAGCTGCCTTTCCATGTGCAGTGACTTGTGTATCCCACAGGGTCTGATGATTACTCTGAGTTCCCTTCCCCCATGTGATGGTCATTCATTGTCCCTCCCCAAAATCTGGGGTATGACAACCATTTTATTATCCCTCCATTCTGAGATGTGGTGGTCCCTTTGTGTTCCCAGCATGTTCACTTTTTATATTTTGTCTTCTTTGTCCCTACCAGAGTGATGGAAGAAAGAAACCTCTTTCATCTTGCAGAAACCAAGTGGAGGCTGATGTCATTGTCCATTCTGACTTCTCAGCATCCGAAGGGCACCATGATCCTGAGCTCTATGGCCCAGAGCCTAGGGACCCCACACCCCATGGGTCTCCAGCCTCCCCCTCCCATATCAGTGAGCTGGGGCTGGAAACAGACTGGCCAGGTAGAGACCTGGGAGGAGGTGAGCTAGAAGCCACAGGGCTGGACACACAGACTCACCAGCCAGAGGCAGCTAGTGTCCAAGACCTCTGCAATGGCTTTCCCCAGCATGGAGATGCCTTGGAGAAAACAGCCACTGAGTACCCTGATACCTATAGGGGTGGGCAGCTGATGAAGGGATCCCCAACCCTTTCTGGACAACTAGATGAGCTTCAGGGCAGCTCCTCTGGCCTCCACTCATCCACTACAACCCAGAGTTTGTGGCCCTGATTGGTAAAGCTTGGCACCCATTTGATCTGGACCATGTGAAGCAACATCTGCATTTGTGCATATGTATGTGTACCTCCTCGCTAAGCCATGTGGAGACCTCCCTGGGGCCCCTTGGGAGGAGCCAGTGGGTGCCCTGGAGCAGTTAGATCCCACACCCTAGGAGTCTGCTCTTCCCAAAGTGCCTCACTGCTCTTAGGTGATCACTCCTTCCTGCCCCTTAAGAACTAGGCTCTGTTCCACATTATCATACGTGTTCTTCTGAAGACCCGTGCATACATGTGGACACACACATTTGGTTAGTGGGTTGGGAGGAAGGGTATTGTGTTTGTTGGGGAATCGTGGGCATCTTCTACTATTGGCTTTGCTCAGTGTTTATGAGAATGAGGAGTAAATGGGTTAGTAGATAATATTCTTTCTAGGACAGTCTCCGGGAGCGCCTCCTGTTGCTGTGGCCTGCCAACCTTTCCATAACTCCACATCTTTTATTACACACTCTGAGAGTGTCTCTAACACCCTGTCTTAGCAAGACAGTGCCAGCCCTAGACTGCCTCCCTCTCTGGCTGGGGGTAGGTAGCTCCAAGTAGGCTCAGGTGCCTAACATTCTAGGTGCATCTCCTTCCCACCACCCATTTTCCTGCTGTGTGCACAAGTGACTCTGATTCCTCTCTGAATAACTTGGTTTTATCTTATTTCAAGCAAAGCTTGGTTTTGTAGCTGCTTGCTAGTTTCTCTCCCCATGTCCTGCATCTCTCCCTGCCTTTAAAATCTTTCCCTCTTCTCTCCTTCCCCTTTTCTTTCTTCCTCCTGCGCATTTCTATCTTCATCACCCTCTGTCTCTCTCTATGTCCCCCTGTTCTATCTCTTTCCTATCTCTCTCTTACTCCCGCATCTTATTTCCCTCTCCCTGTCTCCTTTCCCTCATCCCCATTCTCCACCCCCTCAGACTTTCCCTCTTGTCCTGTCTTTCTTCCCCTCTTCTTCCTTCTCTGCCCCATCCCCATTTCCCCCCCTTACTCTTCTGTCACTTGCCCTCTTCCCTGTAAATGCCTTCCATCTCTCCTTAGTTGTTGTTCTCTCCTGTCCTACATTTCTCTACCCCGGAACTGTCCCTCCACATTTCTCTCTCGCCTGTTTTTCCTACCCTCCCACATTCTCTATCCCCTCTCCTCCCCTTATCCTATGGATCTCCCCCATTCAGTATTTCTCTTCTCTCTTTTTCCCTCTCTTTCCCTCTCTTTGCCTCTCATCTCTCACCTCCTCCTTCCCCTCCCTTCTCCCTCTCTCATCTCGCACTTTCTCCCTCCCCTCCCTTCTCCCTCTCTCATCTCTCACCTCCTCCTTCCCTTCTCCCTCTCTTGTCTCTCACCTCCTCTTTCTCTCCTTTCTCTCTCTTTCTCTCATCTTTTACCTCCTCCTTCCCCTCCCTTCTCCCTCTCTCATTTCTCACCTCCTCCTTCCCTTCTCCCTCTCTCATCTCTCACCTCCTCCTTCACCTGCCTTCTCTCTCTCTCTCATCTCTCTCATATTCTCTTCTAGTCTGTTCTTTTCATCTTTCCCGTCTTCATTACCATCTCCCCTTTTCGCTTCTCTCGTGGTTGGTTTTACATTTCCCTCCTCACAACAGGACTACCTCACGTCTGTTTCAGAGGCTGAAGTGATTCCCCTGCCCCATAGATATGTAACTGGTTCTTATACCACTTTTCTGTAAAGATGCAACTGTGCCCACTGCAGTGACTTTAAAAAAAATCATAGCCCACCTGCCTGTCAGGTGCCTGTATGGGAGGCTCACACTTCTCTGTAAAGCATCAACCTCCCTCCTCCACCTGGCCTTGGACACAGCTGGGTTAATTCAGTTCATCCAAAAGATTTTGGGGTTTTTTTGTTTTAAATTTGGGGCAGTAGTGTCATAATCTAAATTGGATGTTCACATGGTCACATTTGCCTGGATAATCAATTTTCCCTCTGATTTAACCTGCCAGTAGAGCAGGCTGTGAGAAAAGGTTGGGGTGGGGAAAAGATTTCCTTTCCGGAGCAATACTGAAAAGGGTGCATACCCCAGCTCCCTAGACCCAAGAAAGTCCGGAGTGCAGCTACCACAGGTTTGGGGCTAACCTGGCCAATTCCCCTACTGAAAGGACTCCACTTTTGAAACTTGACTTGAATCTAGTCGCAGGCACCAGACAGATCAGTTTAAGTAGCAGTACTCCTATGGAGCACTGAACTTTCCCAGCCTTCTTTTTAAGGCTCTGCACTCATAGATAGGAGCCCTGAAGGGGTAGGCATCTACCCCCACCTTCCCTCTCCTCCAAGATCTTTGAAAGTAGATCTCCTCAGAGCCAGGGCACAAGGATACCATGTTTTGTTCCTTTGGTTTAAACTCATTTCTGAAATCATTACAAGACCTACATAGTATCTGAGGTCCTTTCCATCTCTAAATCCTGTGATTCTCAACACCTAGCACAGTGCTTGGCATATACTAGGTTCTTAATAAATGCTCATTGATTCATTATTCCTACTCATGTATGCCAGTTCCCATTCCCTAGGCAGGAGGATAGACACTTGCTTTTCGCTTTGACCCTTTTCCTAGGGCACTGTATTTGGGGTTGGGTTGGGGAGAAGGTTCTCCCTGTTTGCTACTTTAAACAGAATAGAGAGTCATGGGTTAACTCTGGCTTCTGTGCCAAATTAAGAAGCAATATCTTTTACTTTTTCTCCCCCTTAAATCATGAAATATATCCCAGAGTTCCTATAGCTTCATCTGACTATTGGTGTGGAAACAGAAGGCATCTGTGTGTTTATTACGTGTTTGTTTCACTCATGCTTGAAACCCTTAACCTGTAGACCTGCTTCCTCCCCCCAACCCTCCCCATCATCACTAGCATCCCACCAAAGATCATGGATGTTGGCTTTGGAGGCTGCTGAACCCAGAACCATTCTCCTGCCATTTCCTTAGCCATTGGGGTTACGGTTTGACTACACAGCTGTGCACATTGGCTTGTTGTTCAGAAGGTCAGAATCCTTGCTTTATTTTGTTTTCATGTTTCTACCCTGATGTTTATGGCAGCAGCTCAGGCCTGGCTGTACGCTGTTAGCGTGGCACTGTATGTCCTCATTTTTCATGTCCTTGTTTAACAGGCAGTGAAATTCTGGTTTAAATTAAGTAGCTGCAAATGAGACAATTTATAACCCATTAGGTTGGGATGGGAAATTGTTTCTCAAAAGCAAATAAGTAATAAATCTGGTCTCTGCCTATAACTCATACTTGATAAGAAAGTGGGCCTGATCCTCCCCAGCATTGCAGATGCTATTTTACTCTGCAAGTAATCTCGGAGGTGCTGTCTTTGTCTCTTAAAAGTACTTACTGGGAAAGAGATTGTTGGTATATTACAGGGTAGAGTCTCCACTCTTTTATCACTTTTCACTGATGCTGCTTTTTTAAAAATGATTTTGCTTTAAGATTTCCTTCCTATGATGCATGACAACTGTAATCAGGACCTGCCCTACTATTTATCTGTATTAGCTCATGCTGTATTATTTAATTATCTTTCCTTAGCAGCTTCTCGCCTCTCCTCACAGATATTCTTTAGCATTAAGATGCCTAGATGGCAATGACCATGTATCCCTCCATTAATGAATTAATAAACTATTTTCCAAAAAAAAATGCTGTGTTCTCCACAGGAACCAAATTTAGTTCAATTCAACAAGGACATATTAAGTACATACTGTGTTCTAAGCACTAAGAATACAAAGATGGGAAGAGTCAAACTCCCTGTGTTCAAGGAGCTTACACTTTGGTGGAGGGGTATACATAAATGGATGACTTTTACACAGACAAGTCAAAACGTTTTATTTTATTTGTATTTTGTAATTTGAGGGTGGGATGGGAGCCCAGCACCAACACCTAGAAGAATCAGGAAAGGCCTCTCATAGGAGCTGATACATGAACTGATCCTTGAAGGAACTAGGAGTACCAGGAAGCAGAATAAAAGAGGTAGACTACTTCAGACTGTGCAATAATAACAAAGATAGTGGATAGAGCACCGGCTCTGGATTCAGGAGGAACTGAGTTCAAATCTGGCCGCAGACACATAACACTTACTAGCTGTGTGACCTTGGGCAAGTCACTTAACCCCATTGCCTAGCCAAAAAAATAATAATGATAACAAAGATGAATAATAGCATTTTTGTAGCACCTACTAGGTGCCAGGCATTGTGCTAAGTGCTTTACAATTATTATATTCATTGAGCTTCATGAAAAACTCTGGAAGGTATATTATCCCTGTTTTACAGATGAGGAAACTGAGGCAAACAGAGGTGACCCCAGGGTCACAGAGTTAGTAGGTGCCTAAGACTATATTTGAATTTAGGTCTTCTTGACTCTAGACTCAGGGCTCTATCCACCTTGCCACCTAGCTGCCCTAGTAATGGAACGATGAATGGGGAGCTTCAAGTGGGCCAACCTGGCTGGAATGTAGAGTTAATGGGGGAAGTGAAATGAAATCAGCCTGGAAAGGAGATGGAGCTAGATTGTGAAGGGCTTTAAAAGCCCCAGCAGAAAATTTTGTATTTTGTCCTAGAAGCAATAGGAAGTTAATAGGCTTCTTACGAAGGGGAGGAATATGGTCAGACCTGCACTTTACGAATAGCAATTTGACAGGTGTGCAGGGGATGCATTGAGGGGAGAGATCAGAGGAAGAGAGAACAATTAGGAGGCTATTGCAATGCAGGTTACGGAGACCTGAACTAGGGTGCTGGCCACTTGAGTGGACAGAACTACAGAGTAGTACTTATAGTGGTGGAAAACAGCTTTTCTGCCCGAGGAAATTTTTCCAAGATGAGAAGTGGTGTTTTTTGATGTGGGGAAAACATGTAGCCATAGATCATGTAGTTAAGAGGAACTGTAGAGGTCATGAAGTCCAACACCCTCCTACAGATGAGAAAACTGAGACCCAGCATGTCAAGTCAATCAAAAGGTATTTATTAAATACTACTATGCCTGGTACTGGGTATACAAAAACAGGAATGAATGGTAAAATCAAATTAGGAACAGAGTAAGTATTTGAAATCAGGTTTTATGGCTCCAAATCTAATGTTCTTTCCACCGTCTTGCAGGGAATCAGGTTCTCTCTTACAAGCACAGAAGAAAAAAGATCCGAACTTTCTATGTAGGAATCTTTGAGGTGATCTGGGCATCATTTTGTTAACTTTACTTCTCTGTCTGCACAGCACTGAACAAGGCCCTTGGGAATGTAGAGCCTATAAGACATCATTTTCTATAACATGAGATTTCCATCATTGCAACATAAATCTTCATGGAATATATGCCTACTCAAGAAACATAGATACGTGATTACTGCATTCTAGAGGTTATGAATCTAGGTTCATATAGTTAGGGTACTAGTCCCCACA